AGCCAGAGACCGCTCTGCTTTTAAGGGGCCTGTGCGATTAAATAACATCTCCTTTGCCACGTAATAAAACATAACCACGGGGGCTGGAGAGATGGCTCAGCAGTTAGGAGCACTGGCTGCTCTTCCAAGGGACCTGGGTTCAATTCCCAACACCCACATGGCAGCTAACAAATGCACATAAAAATGAAATCATTAAAACCAAACCAAACAAAACCACAGAGCTCACACCCTACAGCAGAATGTTCTACCCAGTCTCAAAAGGCGAGGCCCCTAGGGATTGTGCCCACCCTCCCCAGCCTCTCAGGCTCACTCCAGGTCTAGCCCTCCTGATCTATGTGGGATATTGGACCAATCACTATTCATGTCTGGTCCTAAGTTTCCTCTCTTGTAAATAAGGCTGAAGGCTGGATGGAATTGACAGACATCTGACAGAACAAGATGGAAGCAGTTAGAGGGAATTGTGATCCTTTAGACTGGAGCCCCACCTCCAAGGGAGACACAGGATGGAGTACCTCCCTGAAACACTCCACCCAGCCTGAGCACAGCAGCCCTAACTGAAGCTGAGCAGGAGCTGTGAAGGTCATAGGCACGGCACAGCTCAGCACAGCTCAGCTCAGCACACAGCACAGCTCAGTACAGCTCAGCTCAGCTCACAGCACAGCACAGTACCGCACCGCACAGCACACAGCACAGCTCAGTTCAGCTCAACTCACAGCACAGCACAGCACATCACAGGACAGCTCAGCTCACAGCTCAGCTCAGCTCAGCTCAGCTCAGCTCACAGCTCAGCTCAGCTCACAGCTCAGCTCAGCTCACAGCGCAGCACAGCTCAGCTCAGCTCACAACACAGCTCAGCACAGCACAGCTCAGCACAGCACAGCACAGCACAGCACAGCTCAGCTCAGCTCAGCTCACAGCACAGCACAGCACAGCACAGCACAGCTCAGCTCACAGCACAGCACAGCACAGCGCAGCACAGCACAGCTCAGCTCAGCTCACAGCACAGCTCAGCTCAGCTCACAACACAGCTCAGCACAGCACAGCT